TTTCGTTATAAATTGGCTGCATTTCGTGCCCTAGTTAGAAGGGCCTTTTTATACTGCGGCAATATTATGGACAGAGACAAAGAAATCGACAGGATTAAACGGATAGCAGAATCCTTAGGCTACAGGAGAAACATAATTGCCGGCATTGTTAGAAACTTTGAGATAAAGGATACAAAGGTCTCTAAACAAAGACCTAGTAAATACATAAAATTCACCTACAACAAAAATGTAAGAAGCGTTATGAAGGAGATTGCGGACATAAAAGAATCAACGGTGATTTTAAAACGAGCTCCTAATTTATTTAAAATTCTAAGAAACGATAAAGGGGATATTAAGAAAGAAGATAAAGCAGGAGTTTATAAGATCCCGTACGAGAACCAACAATTAGGATTAAAAAAGGAGTACATAGGAGTTACAACAAGGAAATTGGGGTAAGGGTCAGGGAGCATAAATATGATGTTAAACGGAAAAAATCAAACGCAACTGTGCTGGCCCAGATGGCTCAAGCCCAAGGTTCCGTAGTTGGATGGGAAGAAGCTGAAATCATTAAGCAAATACACTCTCCAACTTTAGCGAAGACAGACGAAAAAATGGAAATACTGTATACAGGAGCAAACTTGATGATAGATGTATAAATTAAATTTAATGCCTCTACAATAAGTGTGTGAAGAGATAGACGATATGGACTCATGTATATGTATAGTCTAGTAAGAAATATATTTTTTCTTCTAAATATGAATTTGTCCCGGCAATTTTTGTTAATCTAGTTTTTAAATTTATATTTACAATTCAAAATGAATTATTATTCTTTATTTAAAACTATTATTAACAACTTTTTATTTTAATACTTATAAAAGCATGAATTCTATATATACATCTTTAAACTGTTACTCAAATTTAAAAGTGTATTTTATCATATATATACTCATAGCTATATACTTGTGAGCCACCGGGGAGGTTGGAAATTCCTCTCCTTTCCGGCAACAGGTCGGTGACCTACTTTCTTGTCAAGGATGGTGTTTACGTTCTGTTACGCTAGTGGAGGAGAGTCGGAGGGGTCGACGATAAGACGTTGGCAGAGTCGAGTAACGACACCACTTAAAAACAAAACAAGAATTTATTTAACTCGCTAACTAAATAAAAATTTACAAAACTCGTTCGACTTTGCGGATGAGAGAGAGAGTTTACAATAATATTTCATACTTCTGGGATAATATCGGATGGATACTCCGGCTTTAATTGTTCTGAAAGGCGGTGCGAGGTGTGGCCCAAGGTCTTCCAATTAAGGTCGTACAGTAGGTATACGGGAAAGTTAATGTCCGTCTTTGTCATTGTTCGTTCGATTGGCGACTCACCCCGAGAGGGGAAGGAGATGGCTTTTATACGTATTGTGGTGGGAAAATTCGTCAGGTGATCAATTGTTTTAGCAGGTGTGGGGTTAATTAAAGTTGGTGTCAGAATGACTTCATTATGACGAATTTCGCCGGTAATTGTAAACTATACGCGGTTTGATCGTGAGAATGTTTATAGTTAAACAGAAAGAGTTACCCCTTAACGACCATTGACAAGATAACTAGTCCAGTTTCCATAGCGTTACAGAAAACTCGGTCCTTTCGGCCCTAAAAATTTTTTTTTTTTCAATTTTCGGATGTTTTTTAAGTTCCAAATTTTTTCAAAAATTTTTTCCCGTGCGAAAAAATTTTATCGCGATTTTAATTTACCTTTAATGACACACGGTTAACGCTTAATTGTGTTTAATGCAATTTATTCATCAAATTTAATTCATTGTTATAAAGTTGTAGTACACAAATTTTACTTTGGTAAAGTTATTTAAAGCTACTTTCTGATATTAAAAACGACCTCCAATAGTTAGTTAATTTTTTAAATTACTGTATTTTCACGAGTATAAGTTGCTGTCAAGTATAAGATGCACTCCTATTTTGAGACAAAAAATATAGAAAAAAACTTTTTTAATTCCCGCAATTAACACAACTACATTTTATAACATTTTTTACACAAGGGTATTGTTATCTGGATAGCTAATGTAAAAAATTTACAATATCATTTTTCCTATTTTGTAGTAATTTAAATAATTTGGCTTTGTTCACAGCGTACTTTAAACAAAATATCAGGGGTGTGCCGTGACATTTGATGACAGGAAAGCTGTGTTTTAGTAAGAAGCCGACATCCAGGAGCAATCAGTCAATTGCATGTCAGTGATGGTCTAGGGCAGGGGTGGCCAAAACGTGGCGCATGCGCCAAAGTTGGCGCATTTGACGATTAAAAGTAGCGCTTTAGTCGGTTCTGAGCAACATTGCCAGATTTGGCTTTATTGCAATTATGAATATTACATAGAAAATTAATTTTTTATAGTCTGTCTTNAATCTTAAAACAATGCACTTAGTCAAATAGCTCCCTACGAATGGCTAATGAATGGAATCGAAGAAGATTGCAGAGAGTGCATACACGCAGACTACCAAATTCCCAGGATGCTGATACCGGTCACTTTCAAATACCTCTTTTGTCGCATTATTAGTATATCTCAAAAGACGCAACAGGGCTGTTGTAGATTTTAAACGTTTCTCACCATAGCTGTAAAAATATAAATATCTTAAACTTAATAGTCATTTGTTTTCTAATTAATTCGTTTTAGGACCAGGTGTTGTCCATGGAAATTTCCAAAATTTACAACTTTTCAATCACTCTCGTTCAACTGGAAAAATTTCTGTCTTTATTACATCTAATACAGTATTTCAAAAAAATCAGTCCCCACTGTACTCGGCTAGAGATTGGTTCGGTTAAGCTTTTGTTTAAGTAATATTCTGGCTCTTTCATTGGAGTTTTGTTTATGTGCCCAATTACCCAATCGCTTAATTATTTAACTACTTCTTAAGTAGAAATAAGTCGAAACCAGTTACTTTGTACTCGAATATTTGTAGTCTCGGGAAAAAAGTGGAAAGACAAATTTTTATGACAAACGGATACATAAATCGTAAATTNTAAACTTTTCAACTTTTTTTTTTTTTTTGCTTGTACGATACACGACACATTCGTGTTCATGTACACCACTAGTGGCATATAGAACTATTTTATACGGATAACTACACTACAACCGCATTTTTCATTGCTTGTTCTGTGGCAAAACTGAATTTTGTCTTATAAATTGAAATACTTAATTAAGGGGTGGCCGAAATTTTTCTCTGCCCCGGGCGGTTAACTCTCACGGTACGCCACTACGCATCTGAACTCGTCTATCAAAAAATTGGCGCATGCTATGCAAAATGTTGGCCACCCCTGGTCTAGGGTCTATTTGTATTGTTTATTCGATAAGCCAGTAAAAACCGTAGACTTTTCTAAATGCGTTTTTAATATCACAATTACATTCCGAATTGCTTGCCACGATATAAGGGCTACAATTAAAAATAAAATAATAAAAACTTACTTGGTGAAATAAAATATGTGGTGGATGTACTGGTACATACAAAATATTCTTCAATTATATGAATATACTTTTAAAGAAAATTATAATTAAATATAGCTTTGCAAAGAAACGTACATAAAAATATAAAATATTCTTTACCTTTTAAATCTTAAAACAATGCACTTAGTCAAATAGCTCCCTACGAATGGCTAATGAATGGAATCGAAGAAGATTGCAGAGAGTGCATACACGCAGACTACCAAATTCCCAGGATGCTGATACCGGTCACTTTCAAATACCTCTTTTGTCGCATTATTAGTATATCTCAAAAGACGCAACAGGGCTGTTGTAGATTTTAAACGTTTCTCACCATAGCTGTAAAAATATAAATATCTTAAACTTAATAGTCATTTGTTTTCTAATTAATTCGTTTTAGGACCAGGTGTTGTCCATGGAAATTTCCAAAATTTACAACTTTTCAATCACTCTCGTTCAACTGGAAAAATTTCTGTCTTTATTACATCTAATACAGTATTTCAAAAAAATCAGTCCCCACTGTACTCGGCTAGAGATTGGTTCGGTTAAGCTTTTGTTTAAGTAATATTCTGGCTCTTTCATTGGAGTTTTGTTTATGTGCCCAATTACCCAATCGCTTAATTATTTAACTACTTCTTAAGTAGAAATAAGTCGAAACCAGTTACTTTGTACTCGAATATTTGTAGTCTCGGGAAAAAAGTGGAAAGACAAATTTTTAAGACAAGGGATACATAAATCGTAAATTTAAGAAAAATAAATTTTAGAACTTTTTCTGTACATGGTGCATCTTTCTTGTTCATTAAATTTTGTTTTAAATGATGCTGTCAAAGTAACGGTTAATTTTTTAACATTATACAAGAATTGTACACGTTTTCTTCTACATCCCCTTAAAGATGGTGTATATGAAATCGTAATATCACTGGTTTAACGTTAAAATCCGTGAGTAATATAAAATCAAAGAGCGGAATAAATATATCAAATATTTTAATGGATTTTTTTTAACTTCTGTCAACTATACAGAACTATTGTAAAAACATTCCAGTAAATTCTTATCGGTTGGGTTAAGTTATAGATCTACTCGTTATTCATGTAATCAGCCAAATATCTAGCGTGTGGGCGGCTAACAGCCCAGAACCAATCCCGGATAGAATTGGAAGCGTTATATGTGTAGCATCAACTCAAGGTAGTAGGCTTCCATCGGCTAAACCGGGTGAGGACGGTGCTTTGTAAAGCGCATGCGCAAATCTGGCTTTTTGGAATCTGACAATACAGAGATTTTAACTCAGCCACTAATATTCGAATATACAATAGCAATCTTATTTTTTTTTCACGTGTAGTATAGAAATTTGTAATAAGATACATAATGCGGTTATAATAAAATATTGCGCGATAATTTTCATATAATCAAAATTAATATGTATTTAATTTTTTTTTAAATACAAGGGAAGCAGCGCTTCCACACTTCTAATGACAGCACGCTACTGAAAGATATGTGTTATTCAAAACAGCATGTGTTGAACAAGATTTTTAGTTTTGTATCTCTTGTTCAATAATATGTAACAAACTTCAGGAGGTGATAATATCAGAGAATCAGTAAAAATTAATAGTACAAGCTGTAATGGCCAAATGATATCACATCTATTCCGTTATCAAAAGTAATTTTTTTATCATAAAACAGGAAAAAGATATTTTGTTCTGAAGATATGTTGTCATAACATGATTTTTACTTTTAATTCTGTATTGTTGATATCTTAATAGTTCTGTGTTGAATAAGACTTCTTTATATTTTTTTTGATTGAAAGTTTTTCAACTGATTTTTTAATTTCTTAGCTGTATTTTTATTTTGATTGTCAAATATATAAGAATACATTTTCGGTTTTATTAATGTTTCTTGTTTAAAATATCCTAATTTATTTTTGTTTATGTTATAAAATTTATAGTTTTTTGTAGACTTGCTAAAATCGATAATATTTG